TCCTTTACTAAATACAGTTTTTTCTGTGAAAAATTGCTGCTATTTTCTTTTGCTTCCCAACATATAGCAATGGCCCCACTAATTCACATGGCAAATTTTCCAGTTATTTGAAATGGTCTATAGCAAGGGTTCTCAACCGGTGGTACACAAACATGGAAAGTATTTTTAACTATTAAATTAAAAAATTAAAACCCAAACATCCTGATTGAGTTTTTTCTTTAACACTCGTAAATTTATGCGATCTGAGCTTTGTTCAAGATTGGTAGTGGTTCTAGTACTTTATAGTGGTGGTACTAAAAGTTTTCAATTTTTGTTTAGATGGTACGCGTTAGTCAAATGGTTGAGAACAGCTGGTCTATAGTTTCTTTTGTTTTTCCCTGTATAAAGCAAATACAAATCCTCTTTTGGAGGGAAGGGTATAATTATTTTTTTTACTTTCTTTGTACAAAGTAAAAAGAAAGTATTGTAATCGCGAAAAATTTCGGGTATCGTATTTCAACGAAAATATCATTTCGACCGCTGTCGAATACAATTTAACGATTTAACGATTAATTGCGTGACATCTGTACGTAAGGACAGAATAAAAGACTCTTTTTCCCCAAAAGAATAACAAAATTAATTTAAAATGGATTCTGAAGAGATTTTTTTCGTGGTGTATGTATGTATATATCTCGCATAACTCAAAAACGAGTAGCCTCACAACTTTGAAATTTTGTATATAGGTCTGGTATAACATGTAAATGTGCACGTCCTACTTTGATTGCAAATCGGCCCCACCAAAAGTATATAAATATACGCATATATATATCCACTCTATCACTCGGCTCAATGAGCTCAGTTTTTTATTCTTATATGTTTGCAAATTGCACAATTTTTGTTTTAAAAATGATTGAATTATGTTGCTCTTATCTTTCGGTTAAGGTTTTTACCCCTTCAGTAAATCTGCATGTAAAATTTGTAGAATTATCAACAATTTAAAAGCTGTTTAAGTGAGGCTAAGCCTAATTATTTTCACCATAGCAGCCATATTTGTTTACATTTGAAACTTAGCAGAATAGAGGATTTGTTGCCAATTTAAAGAAACTAAGCTGCGCAACAACAAAGATAATGGCTTCTTTTATTGTTGCAAATTAAATCACATGCTTAATCCATTCTGGAATTCATTCGAGGAAATAAATACTTCAGATTTACTTTTTAATTTTTAATATAGATATTTTGAATTTTTATGTATTTTTGCCTTGTCGCGAAGTGAGAACTGAATTAATTGAAAGAGAAATACTGATTCATTTGTGAAAAACTGTTCCTTTTTTTTTGTTTGTTTTTTGTTAAATTGCTTTTATACATCATTTTAGATTTATTATACTATTTGAATAGAACATGTGGCAACGATTAGATAATTCTTCACATGATGTAATTTTTGTGCATTCTGAGTTATAAAATGAATGAGATGTAACGCTGTTAAGTGAATCTTGCTCCAGAATATCAAAAAAGTGCGTATAATTTAATATTCCGCGCAAGGAAGTCATGCGGTGTACACATCAGATTTTTTTTCAAAACGATTTTAAAATGGATATAAACGTCTGTACAACGTATTTATGCATCTCTCATATCTCAAAAACGAGTAGACTGACTTAGAACATTCAAATTTTGTATATGGGACTCCTATAACATGCAGTTGTGCACCTCCCTTTTTGGTACCAAACGTATGTGTAGATATAAACGACCGAATATGTTTATATATATATATATATATATAAACGTATCTATATCTATATCTATATATGTGTGTGTGGGTGTGTAAGCTAAAAATATGTAAATTTGCTTTATAATTTAATTTTGTAATAGCCTTTTAATTCCTCATTTTTAATTTGGATATTTTATCTCTGTATTCCAAAAGTAGTAATAACGTTTCTGGACTGCGCAATTTCTAGATTAATTTATGTCACACGGCTTGCGTAATGCTAATGACATAACTGATTCGGAAATTGAACTCAAATTTTTGAGAACTGAAATCTTTCTAACCTAAATTCAAACCTTCTATTGGTGAGCTTCGATATCGGATAACTGCTCACTTTAGCTTCTATTTCTGTTGCTGCTTGGACGCTATATCGCTATGCTCTCTTCCTATCGCTCGCAGCAGTATCAAAAATGCAAATGTTCTTGAACAGGCACGATTAGAGTACCAAATATCAAAGGCTACAAATATCAATTGAAATAAAAATGAATATTTAATCTAAAATCTCAAATCGCAATTCAGCAGTTTTTAGAGCATGAGCATGCTCGAATTCGCGCATGTTTGTGTTTTAGACACTATCGTGCGCAATGTTGAGCGTGTGTGCGTGGCCACGCCAAGCACGAATAATCCGCAAACCGGATAATTGTAATAAAATTCCAGATTGTACTTTAGTAAACAAAAATAAGGGAATAAAATTAAATAAAATAATATATTCTTCGTTAATAAATTTTAAAAATGAATAAAATAAATAAAAATAATTCTCCGCGGGCAAGTAGCAGGTGTTCTTCGATACTGTAGCCAGATGATAGTTTATTTGTAGACAAAGCCAATTTTAAATTTTAGTCTTAGCAAAAAGGTTTCACTAATACATTGCTTATCATTTACCATTAGTTTAATACCATTTTTTATTAAAGTGCAAAATAATGTCTAAAAGACAAAGTAAACAACAAATATTATATACATTATAAATGGTTATCTCTTATCTTGAAAATAATCAACGGCTTTGTAAATGCGTCATGTTACCATAAATTGACAATGAAACAGTCAGCGTTTTCACTTAGATAAGTGTGAGTCATGTACATTAATTCTACAATAGTTTACTTTAAAAGAATATGCCTTCCCTGCAAAAATAGATAATAAAATGCTTTGTCCTCAATTTGTGTTTTTATAAATTATATTGCTAAATATGTTACGTTGTTAGAAATATGGAATTTCCTTATACTCAATATTAATTGCAAAGAAATTTTATTAAAAAATAGTCCCGCTTTTGCCTGCAGAAGAAAGATTAATTTTGCTAAAATTATAGAGATTGAAAACAAGCTTTGTGTTTGTAACAGGTCAATCATTAATTCGGAAACTAAGCTTTTCGTGGATCTTGATAGAGTGAAATGTTGATACATAATAAAGAGCAATTGGCTGTTTATAAAATATTCATTTTAATTTCTGTAAACACTTAGTAACTACAAACAATTTAGCACTCATGCCTATTTCATGAATAGGCATTAAATAGGCATGTTTTTTAATTCATGCCAATTTAAAAACGTTTTATTTTGGAGAGCATTGCGTTAGAAATAGAAGCAGTTAAGAACAGTCTATGAGGTCGAATTGCAGAAGACAAGTAAGTTTTGTTCAGGAAGAAATTTTAATTCACAAGGAGTTAGTATCGGTTTTCAATGCATTTGATTGGATAATTAAGAATGCTGTAAAATTATTATTGGCTATTTGAGTTTTGTATCCATTTACATCATCAGCGTTGTAAGAGTCATATTTTAGAGAGATTATCAACACGTTATGGTTCATTCCAAATTTGTATATCCACCGTGATCTCAAAGTAGACACAGTTCAAAATTATATTAAAAAACTTGCCAGAAATTTCTTCTATTCATTTCTCACTCATATTAACTACTGCATCAACTCTTTTAGATGGTCTCCATTTCCCAGAGAAAACACAAATATCCTTCTGACATTCTCCATCCTGAACATTTTTTACATATACTAGGCTCTTCCATTAATTGATTTGCATCTTCCACTAGAAGCTCACTTTCTTCGTCGACTGATGGCGGCCATTTGACTTGATACTTTCGCCTTATTTTGTCCACACTTCTCACTTTGTTTTACTGATGGTCTTCACCAGGTGCAGAGTAAAAGGAGGCACTGCTTTCTGAAACTCTAATTCACTATGTATTCTTAGTAGTAGTAGCAGTAAGAGTTGTAAGATTTATGTTAATTTTATTAACAGTTAAATTTTAAGTCCCTTTCCTGTCAAAGTCTTAACTTCAACTTACTACTTCCGGCCAGAACGTAGTTTTAGAATCACGTCTGAATACATAATGAGGAAGAGCGGTATTTAACCGCGAAGTTTTTTGGTCTTAGCGAGAGAGAATCAGAGTTTCTGATTTACGCGCGTCTGCCTTTTGGCCACTCTCTCTCTCTGAAAGCTGTTATTACGCTCGGCCGTACTCAGGCCCTTGATAAGCTTCGTAATCAAATAACTAAGTTAAGGGGCCAACTCGATTAGAATCTTGATAGCTTCGGCTATATTTCTTTAGTTAATCTTAGTTTTAATTATGCCCTTTGGGCTAATAATAATTGTGTATAAACAAATTTACACTCAATGATAAAATTAGAGCCTTCAATAGTAAGCGCCCGTAACCGGGCGGCGAAAGTGACGTCACAGAAAAGGGCGTGACCTTGGATCACGTGACCGGAAGTGCCGCCATGTTGTCGAGTGGAGTTGAGTGGTTTCGAATTGGAAGTAGAAGTGTTTGTTTGAAAGTGGAAGTAGGAGTGAATGGAAATTTCAGAATTTAAGTTTTTTGGAAGTTTCGTTTTTATGGTGTTGCAACGATTATTTTTTTATTTTTTGTGGCAACGAGCTCTTACACCACGTGTTTGGAATGACATCATCAGTTTAGGCGTGCTTTTACAAAATGGCATCGGGAGGATGACATCACCTATTCCTGTTTGGGCATGTTATTTTTCAAAATGGCGTCTGCCTTATTACATCTTTATGTGCTTCCGCTTAGGCGAACGAATACATTTTTCTGTGGACCAATCATATTCTCTGAATAATGGACCAACCGCCTCTTAGCCAATCAGCATTCAGATGAAATAAAGAGTTCCTACCTGATATAGAGTTGTCACGAGAAACGTTCAGCATTTTCTTTCCCTGCTCTCGCCTTGAGTGTACGCACATTTTTTGCTTGGACGATCCTTGTTATTTTCTTCATCGGACTTTTATCTGTTTCTTTTCTCCGCTTCGAATATGGATCAGCTAGGAAACAACAACGCTGCAGAGGTAAGTACTTTTCGAAAAACATACTATTTTTTAGAGTGTTAATCTTTTAAAAATTTATTTGTGAAAGTGCAATGTGGGCTTAATTTGCCTTTTATTTTTCAGATGGAAAATCTATTGGAGAAAGAATCCATGCCTTTGAATGATAAAGTGTTGAGCCATGATGTTCCAAGAGAATCAGATAGCTCTTGTGCCAAAAGAAAAGCAGAAGAAACATCCCATTTCGAGAAAAAAGTACGTATTTACGAAAAGCTTATAAACTTTTTTTTATTTTATGTTACCTCATTTTTATGTATGTTCTTTTATCTGCCAACCGACTTACCATTTTTTTTCCTTTTCAGCGCAAAGGACTCTTTACCGAAGAGGCTATTCCAAAGGAACTCACTCACATGGGAAACAATGTCTTTGTGGGACCCAGCATTTACAAGGGAAAAGTGACTGTGCACATCCGAGAGTATGCCAAATATGGTAAAGCTTACTATCCGACAAGACGTGAACTTTGAGCCATGGTGTTTGAATGTTCTCGCAACCAACATGACAGTGGAGGAACCAGACCTGCTGACACTCAAATCTGGAATTGCCCAAGAACTTTGTAGTTACATGTATAAAGATTCCTTACTTCACTTTGACTCAACTCTCTTCGACAGGAGAGGCAAAAATGTAGCCTCAGCATTACGACTGCGCAGTGGGAAGAACTGCTGACACATTTTAGCCGTATCAGTGACATTGTCACCAACCTCGTTTATCAAAACATGAACTTTTGTGAAGCTTATGAAAGCGTATCCGACGAACCTATTAGTGAGGAAACTCTTTCAGAATCCTTCGATCTTTCCATGGGAAAAGCATGCCTTCAAACTATTCTAAAAACATCGCTTGAAGAGCTCCTTCAGCAGCAAGGAGAACTAAAACATCCCAAGCTCATAGACTGTGAAGAACTCGCTGTTCATAAAACAGAAACTGTGAATTCACTTGCTGTGAGATTACATCCTATAGACATTGCCAGACAATTTTATGGAAATATTTGGGGTGAAGAACCCTATTTAATGTTATTGAAACCTGCTCACTATATCACCAAGGACTTTTTAAAATCTGTATGTTTAACTGATGTATTAAACGAAGTAAGAGAAACTTTTTGTCCAACAAACTTAGAACAGTATGGTGCCTTTGGTACTGAATATTATGAATATTTGTAAAAATAGATGCTCAATAAAATGTTATTTTATTTTACAATGGCCTCATTCTTTGATTCAGACAATCTTTAAATGAAAAAAAAGGTATAGTATTGTATTTGTTACATATAGTTTTTATTTAGTACGAACTTATCGATTAGAAGAGAATATAAATATGGTTGTTCGTAAACATATATATCATTACTTGTTCAACCTTTAAGTTGTTATGTTCATTTTCTTTCTTGTTTATGTCATATTTATAAAATCTTTATATAGGCGAGTTATTATTTTCCTGTTAAACATATATAAATGAATATCAGTGCACGTTTTGATCATAATAATTGTTGCAATGAACTCAGCTCTAGCTCAGACCTATCGGGATCCTCAGGTCCCCGCGAGTTTCGGGGGTGTTGCTGCTTTACATCGTGCTTTAAAAGGTCGCGTGAAAACAAAAGACATACAGAAATGGTTGCAAACCAAAGATTCTTATATTTTACACAAACCCGTGCGACACAAATTTTCCAGAAACAGAGTCATCGTCGGAGGCTTAAACGAGTAATTTCAATCTGATTTAGTAGATATGCAATCGTTAGCCTCATTTAATAATGGGTACAAATATTTACTGACTTGTATAGATATCCTTTCTAAATATGCCTGGGCTATTCCTCTCAAAGATAAAACATCGGTGTCTATCAAATCTGCTTTCGAAAAGATATTTTCGGAACGTACACCTGAATCTTTGCAAACGGATGCCGGGAAAGAGTTCACCAATAAGCAAGTTCAAGATTTTTTTGAAAAAGAAAAACATTCACTTTTTTACGACACATAATGCAACCAAAGCTTCTGTCGTGGAAAGATTTAATCGCACCCTTAAAACTAAAATGTGGAAATACTTTACTGAAATGAATACACGAAAATATATTGATGTTATAGATCAATTGATATCCAGTTATAACAATACATGGCATCGAAGTATTAAGACGGAACCCTCATCGGTTACATTACAAAATCAAGAAAAAATTTGGAAAACATTGTACGATCAGAAATCAGTAAAAAACATGTTCCTACCGATTTAAAGATTGGAGACACGGTGCGCATCAGCCGAGCAAAAATGCTGTTCGAGAAAGGATATGAACAAAACTGGACAAGAGAAATTTTTACAATCTATAAAATTATTCGGAGGACTCCTGTCGTCTACAAACTGAAAGATTTAGCAGGAGAAGTCATACAAGGGACCTTTTACAAACAAGAACTTCAAAAGGTTTCCGACTCTGGTTATTACCCGTAGAAAAAGTTTTGAAAAAAGAGGAAACGTCGAGGGAAAGTGGAATATTTTGTGAAATTTCAGGGGTACCCCGAAAGCTTCAATGCTTGGGTAGAAGATGTTAGGATGCTATAAAAGGCCTGTACATTCTGCTTACCTCTCATTTGAAGAAACATGTCTTTCTTTATCACACTGATCAGCGACAGCTCCATGCGCTTTTTTCCCAGACAACAAAATATCGCAATTTACCACTCAGCTTCCTACGCCGATTGATTTAAATAATCAGTGGGAATTATCTCTTGTGGACTTTATTTACCCTCACACGTGGTATAACGTCCGAAAAGACAACAATTTATTTGGATTTGATTTAGGAGATGGAAAACTGGAAGGGAGAAGAGTTCCTCCAGGATGTTATGAAACGATACCAGATTTATTAAAAGCCATGAAAATACCCTCCCATAAAAATAAGATTGAATTCAGTTATCATCCTGTCACGAAAAAAGTGACCATTAAGACGGACGAAAAATGCAGTGTCATTCTTCATGAAGGATTAGCTGAACTTTTAGGATTCGAGCCTGGTGTTTACAAAGGATTGGAGCAAAGTCCTTTTGTAGCCGATCCAAAAGCCTCTTTTCCTGTCATGTATGTATATTGTGATCTCGTAGAGCCTCAAATCATGTGGAGATGTACAAGCTCCGTTGCTAAAAATTGTCACGGTGGAAGGAAATGATGGGGACATCATAAACGCTCATTATCCCAGACCCTTTTACCTGCCAGTCATTCGTCAGCAGTTTTCAGACTATACATATTGACATAAGACTTCACTCTGGAGATTTAGTGCCGTTCGAAAGAGGCAAAGTATTTCTTGTATTGCATTTTCGCCTCAGACAAATTCTATAAAAGAAGCATCCATTTGAAAATCCATTTCATTTGAATTGTGTATGCAAGAATAGAAGCATCAAAATGAGAGTGCCTTATACGTGTTGTACGAAAAAATTTGAAGATTATTATGTAGCTCAAACTGGAAATGGGCTACCTTACTATCAAGGAACCATTTTACAGAAAGGTTATGGGATTGGTGGATTTTTTGCAAAACTGTTTCGCAGTGCCATGCCTTTTTTGATGAGGGGGGCAAAGACAGTGGGAAAAGAAGCTTTACGGACTGGAACACAGATTGCGAACGACGTATTGTCGGGCGAAAATTTTAATGTGTCCCTCAAAACCAGATCTAAAGAAGCTGAAAAAAAAAATAGCGAGGAAAGCAGTTCAGAAAGCAGACGAGATGATCGGTCATGGAAGGTTTAAAAGGAAGCGCAAAACCCCAAACGCTTCATTTCGTCTAAGCCAGGAAGGTGTGTATTTTTTTAAAATTATTCTGAATTTCAATTTTCCAGAATTCCGAATTGGATTTATTTTCGTTACCTCCCACTCAAACAGTGATAGAAAAAGGTCAGTGGGTTGAATTTCATCCATTAGCCAATGTGTCGGAAGGAAGTCCTGTTGAATTCAATGTTTCTGGAAGCGGAGACGAATACTTTGACTTATCACAGACACAACTCTATGTGAAGGTGAAAATTTTAAAAAGTGATGGCAAGCCTATCACCGCTGAAAGTAAAGTAGGACCTGTCAATCTGTTTTTACATTCCATGTTTTCACAAGTGGATATTAGTTTAAATGAAAGACTCGTTTTCTACCAGTAATAACACTTATCCCTACAGAGCCATGATAGAAAAATTACTGAATCATGGATTTGATACGAAAACTTCGCAACTTTCATCAGAATTGTTTTTTAAAGATACAGCAGGACGTATGAATGTTTTTGATACTGAAGATACTCAGCCGAACGAAGGATTCAACCAACGAGCAGAATTGTTTAAACTGAGTGCCTCAGTCGATATGATTGGCCGGTTGCATTTGGATATGTTTCATCAAGAAAGACTTTTGTTGAATATGGTGGATATGAAGATTAAAACTCATACGCAGCAAACCCGAATTTTGTTTATCTGGGAGATTGGTGAATTTAAAGATTCGTACTCGAACAAATGCTCTTTTGTTTGTAAGAAAAGTGAGAGTTATCCCTGGTGTTGTGCTAGGACATGCAAAAGCTAGAAAAATCAACAGCCAAATATCCCATTCAAAGAGTACTATGCAAAGCCTATTCCATTCCCACTGGATCTCCATACACAGTGTGAGCACAGTGTGTTAAACATCATGAACATGGAAAGACAAAAAATTGTTGTTGTTATTTTAGTTTTGTGGATTTTTTCAAGTATGGCCCTCCTAATTTGGACTCATCTCCAATGGACATCTAAACAAGATTTCAACTGTTTTCAAAATAAAACAACACTCGACATTTATAAAATTTATCAAAAGATTGATTCAATAGGTTTTATCAAGTGCCACGAGTTTTTCCAATTTTTATTTAAATCACACACATTGCGGAGAAAACAATTTGTGAATGCGTTTCAAAGCTCTTTAAATGTTTTCAAAAATCACTGTTTGGAATTTACGAAAAATATTGTGGATTCAAGGAGCGAATGTTCTTCTGATTGCCAATATACTTAAAGGCTGTTTAGAGAGATTTTCTGTAAAGTATAAAAGTCAATATTTTCTTGTTCCTGTCATTTACAAAAATGGAACTGCCCAAGTTCGTACATCCTTCTACTTGTCTTCTGAGCGGACCTACCGGTTCGGGAAAAAACATTTTTGTGAAGAAATTGATAGATCATAAAATGTTCCATCCTATGCCGACCAATATTATTTATTGCTACGGAAGTTATCAACCTCTTTTTAATTCCATGAAAAATGTTAATTTTGAAGAAGGATTACCATCTAACCTGCAGACTCTCCAAAATGCTTTAATTATTATAGACGATTTAATGTCTGAACTAGCAAGCGATACCCGTTTAAGCAAACTTTTTACAAAAGGAAGTCATCACCGAAACCTTTCAGTCATTTTTATAACGCAAAATATTTTTTCACCAAGGCAAAGGAGATGAGAAATATTCATTTAAATTCCCATTACCTTGTCCATTATACAAAAATCCTCGAGATAAAAGTCAAATTATGC